GGGGCTGGGAGAGACAGACGGGGCGTGCTGCTGTTTCCATTTGTTTTTTAATTGACTTTAAACGTTTTTCTGGATATACATGTACGAGGTTTTTAAAAATCAAATAGGATCGAATGAGCTGTAAGGAAAAGCAGCCATCCTTCCCACTCCAGGCCTCTCCCCAAAGCCAACCACAAGTACCCATTTCTGCCTTAGTGTAGCTCACTTCACCCCAAAGCTGGTTGCAGATCATTTTAGTTCATCCCGTGGTTATCTCTGTATGTTCAATAACATGCGCCAACCTCCAGCCCTCACCAGCCATAGGCGGTACCTATTGGCTGTTCTCTTTGTGAGATGGGGTTGCCCCTCCCCTCCGCCCCTCCTCCCACCTCGCAGCTTCCTCACTGCTCTGGGCGACAGGAACTCAAAAGCTCTTGGGTGATTTTCACCATCTCCTCCGCTTGCACCCATGTGGGTGCCTTTCCCTCAGAGGAGTTTTTCTCTTTTAACCCGTGTCCCTGGGAGGAAGGGCACAGGCCATGGTGAGGTGCCACCGACACGCAGCCCACTTCCTCTTTAGCAGTTTGCAAAGTCTCCTCCTTCCTGGCCCTGCTGTTCTGCGGAGCCCATGGCACCATCCAAGTGGAGGTGTCATAGAGACCCCCCTAATCTGAACAATGTCTCCCCTCCCCAGCCCCCAGGGTCTGGTACTGACACCACCTCGCACTACAGGACGCTGGCGCTGGGGGCACTGGTTGGGCCAAGAGAGGGCACGTGACACAAGCGGGGCCAATCAGTGCGTCTCCCCTGGACATTTGTAATTGGGATTGAAACTGCCCTGTTTAGTCTGGGTGGGTATCTTGAAAGAGATGACGTACAATCTCAAAACCTAGCTGACATCTGGAGTATTGAAGAGTAGAAAAGGCAAAACAATTTTCTCAACTAAAAATATAAAACCCAGTGAAGATGAAAATGGCGTTCCTCCCTGATTTCAGCTCCTTGCTGAGGCCCGATGGTGGCTTTGTCCTAAAGCTCCTTAAAACATAGCCGCATCCTTATACCAAATCCCCCAATTTCTTAAACTAGCTCCAGTGAGTTTCTGCTGTTTACAGCCAAATGGACTAACAAAATACCCCTCCTGTAGACTGGGCTCCGTGGGGGGAGGAGCCATGTCCTTGTATTCTCCAACGCGCTGAGCAGAAGGCCCTGCGCATAGTAGGCTCTCAAGAAGCATTTATTGAATGGAATCAGCCGCCAGTACTCCTTCCTCAACCACTTCCGGGGGGCACTGACCCCTCTTGAGATGAGGGCGACTCTGAGAGGGTGAACCGCAGAAAGGACTGAGGTGCTCTGCCAGCTGCTCTCCTAGCCGAGTCCAGTGGATGTGGGGCATGGGGAAGGGGAGGAGGGGGAAGAAGCCTTAGTAAGGGAATCAAATGTCAGTTTCAAGCTGTCTAAATGCCTCCCAGTCTCCTGCCTCATAAGAAGGATTAGAGAAGGTCATCAGCAAGCAGAGAGAGAGCCTGGCTCCATCACTCTAAGGACAGAGTGCTTTGAATCTCTTGGGTCCTTGACTGATGATAAAAGAGCCCTCTAGTGGTGAAATAGCAGTTGTATCTAGGCTTCCTAGAAACCGAGTCTAAGCACCCATGTATACACACACCTACATATCAGCTGAATGAAAGGGTGAGGTCACCCCCTAGATAGTGGGGAGGCATCATCAGGAACTAACTGACCGTGGCCCTGCCTCCTCACGCCCACTCCACTCAGGTGTCCTAACTGCTCCACAGGCAGGTTCAGGGCTTCCCACACCCTGTGGTCAAAGGCTCAGTACAAATCTCCATTCTTTCCACACGTGTCCCTTTCTCTCCTTCAGAAAATGTGTGCACTTCCTGACTCATGATTGCCACCACCATCTGCCTGAGCTCCTGCCCTTGTCCCCACTCCACACTGTCCTGCCTGGATACCCAACCCCCTGGGCACCACGCCTCGCCTGCCTGGGGCTAAGTGACAGCTGAGAAGGTGGAGAGGGAGCTGCTGTGGGTGGACTGTGGGTCTGGTGAGTGGGGGGAACCCTTAAGCCCAAGCCCACTGCACTTCCATGTACACGGTCCTGCTTTGAGAAAAGGCCCTTCTCATCCCGACTGAAGCAAGGAAAGAAGCAAATGGATCCTAAAATGGCTGTTTGGGTTATTATTATTAATTCATATGATTTGTGTTTCTGAGAGGGGGAAGGAAAATGTCACATATTTAATAACCCTCCCAGGAAAGACCAGTTTCAGCTCATGTTACATGTAGCTTTTTTGTTGTTTATCCTCCCCTGAGGATATTTTTCCATTGATTTTTAGGGCGAGTGGAAGAGGAAGGAAAAGACAGAGAGAGACATCGATGTGAGAGAAACACATTGATTGGTTGCCTCCTGCACGAGCCCTGACCAAGGCCTGGGCCAGGCAGGAGCCTGCAACCAAGGTATGTGGACTTGACTGGAATCGAACCCAGGACCCTTTTGGTCCAAAGGCCAATCCTCTATCCACTGAGCAAAATTGGCCAGGGCTATAGCAAAAAAATTTTTTTTGAGGGGGACCTTAAAGAAGGCCCTGTTTACCCCCCTCCATTTCCTATCATTCATTTTGGTTATGTGGAAAATTTTAAATATTTCCACTTCCTGCCCACAAATCATATGCATATGCAGAGAGGTACACAAGCCCACACTATACCTAGCCCCAGGCATGTCCACCCACACATGCAAAAAGCTATGCATTTACAGCAAGTACATTCACATGGCCCACAACACCTCATGCAGCACAGACATAGCTACATGTCTGTTTATTCTACAACAAACTCAGAACTCACAATTAAATTGAACACAGCACCGGTAAACATAATTGTACCATGACTATATATTCAAACCTATCGTGCACATGCATGTATATCTAAAACCAAGAATCAAGACTTCAAGTGACCTTAGCACCAAAGACAAGTAGCAAAGTCCCCGAGAAGGTGTGAGCTGCCTTGAGCACTCTTCCGCACCTGCTGCTGCTCAGTCGTCTGTAGGCCTCTCGGACAGCCAGAGGTGGCAGCAGAACAGGTGTGGCTGTGATTAACTCCCATCATATTTTTGTCAAATAGCATTCCAACATTACAGTTGGTTATGGACACATCTCAGGGACTATAGAAATCACCCAAGCAGCCTCCGCTCCAAACACTGGCCTCGGGGCTTTCGTCCCATCAGGCCACGGTGGGGATGGGGGAGGGGGGACCAAGGCATTCTGTGGACTGTTTTTAGCTAACTCAGTGAGTGCTCATGTATATGCCAGAATGCGTGGTAATAAAAAGCTGGTTAAATGCTGGTCTTTTGCAACACTGACTGTTTCTGAGGGAGAGCCTCGCTAGCTTTCGGGTGTGCAATGGCATTTGCACTTTGGACTAACTTTACCTGCCTTCTGGCCTAACTTAGACAAGGGTGTCAACAAAGGAACATCGGGACCTTTGGAAGGAATCTGATGTTTTCCGTGACTTCCCCCCTTGAATCCATCTCCGCCCCCCACCCCCGCAATGTAGGATTGTTAAAATATATGAGGTATATCCAGAGATCAATATTTAACACCCCTTTCCCCAAACCCCTGATATGTGTGCAACAGAGTCTGTATACAATTAGCCCGTCTCTCTTTTAGGAATGCATGCTCATATGTATATGAACAGTTCCAGGTCTGATCTGAACATGTGGTCTCCGGTGTACACCAGGGCTCCAGAGAAAGGAGGGTAGACATATTGCTTGTTTTGTGGGGAGCCACATTGAGACAGACTATACACAGATGTGTCTGTGACAATACCTTTTGCCCACCCAAGTGAGCCTTGGAGCTGTCGTCCAGTCTCAGGTCCCTTTAAGAAGACTGGGTCTTTCCCAGTGGGTTCCAGCAGAGCCCGCAGCAAAAGGCAAACTTGCCTGGCTCATTGGTGGGGGTGGGGTGGGAGGTAGGGACGCGCTGGGTGCGAGCTGTGAGAGCGCCAGGGTGCGCTGCGGGCTTCTTTCCCCTTCCCCTCTCCTTAACCCTTGCAGGAGCGGAGGGACCGGGCTGTGCTGCAGCGCAAGGAGCGGCTCCGATTGCCCCAGCTCCCCAAACTTTGAGCGGAGCGTGGGCTTGCTCAGACCGATCCTGGGAAGGGTCAGGGAAGGGCGGGGGGGTCGGGGGGAGAGACCCTCCTGCAGCCCCAGTTTCTAGCCCCGGAGCCAGAAGGGCGGGGGTGCAGCCGCGGGAGTGACAGGCTGGTAGCTGTCCGTTCAGCACCGCGGACCCGAAGCCCGGCGTTCGGATGGCGGAGGCGGGGCGGCGGGCGGGAGCTGTCCGTTCAGCACCGCGGGCCTTTGCCCCCCTGAAACCGCCGGCCCCTCCCCACGACTCTCTTTTCTCCAGTTTGAGCGGGGGTGTCGGCAGCAGGCGGAGAGCTTTCCTGGGAGGCAGGGGAAGCAGTGAACACTCTTCTCAGCGACTCGCCTCCCAGCAGTGCTATTTTTTGCCATCCGCCCTCACCCCCAGCACACGCGCGCGCGCACACACACACACATGCACGCACGCACGCGCGAGCGCGCGCACACACGCGCACACACACCGAGACCTCTCTGGATTTCTTTGCCTTGAGTCTCCCGGGGCTGTGAGGAGCCAGGCGCATCTCAAACCGAGCTGGCAGCTCCAGGCTCCGGAGCCATGCCTTGCACGGACTCTCATCTTTACCAACCTCCTGAGGAATGAAAGGAACCCAGGGACCCTCAGAAGGCAGCAGTGATGTGGACCAGCCCCCTGGAGCCTGCACCCTTCCCAGGGCCATAGGCGAACCAGGGAACTGGAGAGAGCTCCAGACAGGAAAGCCCAGCTTTCCCAAAGCCCCCCTGGATGCTGACAAACGGAGACCCGAATTTTTGAAAGAGCCTGTCTTAGGTTACCCAGCTGCAGAGTGATTTTTTTCCTCCGGCATTGAACTTCCCCTTCAACCCCCAGCCATACAGAATACCATGAAGAATTATGAGGATGTGTGACAGAGGTATCCAGATGTTGATCACCACTGTGGGAGCCTTTGCAGCGTTTAGTTTAATGACCATTGCAGTGGGCACGGACTACTGGTTATATTCCAGAGGTGTGTGCAGGACTAAATCTACAAGTGATAATGAAACCAGCAGGAAGAATGAAGAAGTAATGACACACTCGGGGCTGTGGAGGACCTGCTGCCTGGAAGGTATTTGCAAATTCCTCTCAATAATAATCCCGTTTCTGATATTCGAATATTCCCTTGGGGGCTTGGGGGAGGCAGAAGCAGCGAGTCGGGAGGGGGGGGGGAAGAGCGGTTCCGATGATTGCGGAGAAGGTGCGGCTGTCCAGACCGTTCCCAGCAAGACTAATGAAGGGTTTGGAGCTTACTGGTTGTTTTTGGTATAAGCTTCATGAGATGAGATTGTGTGGCCCCCTAGGCAGCTCCTGCAATGAAGAAAAGTCTTCAAATACAAAATCCCTAGTCATTTTGTGAACTGCTTTGATCTCTGGCTTGAGATGGGGTCTTTGGCTCGCCTTGAATTGTGTTTCAGTGGGGGTGGGGGTGGGGGAGAGGGAGAGCGACTCCCTGACCTAGCCTGATGCACTCTAAGCTATTTCCTTATTTTTCAACACAGTCTTACCAGTTCCTTATGAGTTTGGTGTAACTAGATATTTTCATGAACTTCCATTGCCAACCAGTTCCAGACTAACATACGTGAACCCTCCCACACACACACATGCACGCGCATGCGTGTACACACACACACACACACACACACACACACACTTTAAGAAAATGTCCTTATAAATACACATTTTATTATTTGGGGATCAAAACAAAAGTGAAATCTTGGTATTTGGTATACACCTTTCTTCTTTCCTAAATCTTCCCCAAATTGAACAGATATGTTTTCATGATATTTGCATAAGATTGATTCTTTAAGAATGAAAGCTTGTCACTTCTAATTTTAAAAATTGAGAATCAGCTTAATTACAATGAAGAGGACAGATCGATTTTAGAATGTCAAGCTCTTGGGTAGCCTGTCTCACTATTAAACTTGCTTTCACTACACTGGAGTCACTCAGCATCACTGGGCAATGGCTGGATGTCAGTGGGAGAGAGCAGAAAGATAGAGAACAAAATCGAAGCTTTTGGAGCCTAGATGCCTGAGGGAAGGCCCTGGATTAAAGGGTTAAAAGGGAGTTTTCTTGGGCTTCTAGGGAACCTGCGAAGCTTGTCACAGTGATGGGTAAGAGAATCTTGATTCCCTATATGCTCCCTTCCCCTGCTCATCATTGGTTGTCCAGCCGGCATTCTCACTGGCTGGCACTTGCCAGGGCTTCTTAAAGACTTGCATCTATGTCAGCCGCTTAGGAAGTCATGCTATGACATCACTTGCTAGTGTAATATTGCTTCATTCCCTGGCCTTCTTCCCGTGTCCTGACACTCTGAACAACTGCTCTCCTGCCTGTAAGAGCTACTGCAACAGAGTCTGTTTCCAACGCACATTTGCAACTGGTGGGAAGTCCAGGTGGGAGAGGAATACTTTAAATGCAAGAAGGATCACTGTGTGTGAAGTCAGAATACCTGGGTAAGGCTGCAAATTATCTGTATGACCTTGGTTAAGACATTTGCCACTGTCAACCCTTAGTTTATTAATTTGGGAAATTATTAATTTGGAATAGGTGGTATTAAATTATCACTATCCAAAGCTCATATTGTATCCAGTGTACTGATGGAAATTCTAGAATAATTCTTTCCTAAACATTGACAAGAAGCTAACATTTGTGGTCGTTTGTGGTTGGATTTGGTGAAGTCATTTACTTAAGGGAAATTCCATAATTTGCTTTCCTATATGGACAATAAGGAATTGAGTTACCATTTGTAAAGCTGGGATTTTGGGGATATTTTGATGCCTACATGGTTCCAGGGATGCCATAAAAAATCGGAGATTGCTACTGATGTCTGCACATGTAGACCATGTTTCAGTTATTTCCGACTCTTCTGCCTCTAGGAACTAAATCTTGGAATGCACAATTAAACACCAATTTCCCCTTTAGGGCCTAGGATTCCCGAACCCTTAGCATTTCTCAGCTGATGGATTCTCTTTTCTCCAGCAGCATGTCCTACACCCACAGTTGGCACAAGGAATCAGAGCCCCACCCAGGCATTCTGTGAGAAGTGAGAATTTGAATCAAGTGGGATTTGGTGAAGCTAAGACATGCTCTTGGTCAGGTGAATTCTTTTGAGAATATTGGTTGCAGCCTCCATAAAATTTGGTCCAGCTACATTTTTGTTTATATTTTTGAAGTATCAAACACAGTAAGATACATAAACTTTAATGAATCACAATAAAATTTTAGCTGTGTGTCCATCCATATAGCCAACCCCTAGGTGGGCCTGGCTGAAACTGAAGCCAAGATTTGCCTTCATGTACTGACGACATCACGTGTTGGCACTTGCAGGGGCCTCTGGCTTCTGCGTGGCACATGCCACAGACGGAGCCCTGCCTGATGACATGAAGGTGCACAGCCATCTCCCGCTTGGCACCTCCTGTCTGCCAGAGCCTCAACATCCTCATTTTTTCTGGTCCTTTAAGTGTCAAAGGATAACTAGGGCATGGGGGCCTTTAGCTCATTTTTTTTATATCGCAAATTAGAGGAGTCAGTTTATCCATACTTTTCCCCCATGAGAGAATAGGGCCATTTTGTCCAAAAGAAGAGAATGCTCAGCAGGAACAGGACAGCTGTCTGCAGCATCTGAAGAGCTCTCATACGAAAAAGAGATGTGACGCGTTCTGAGTGGCCTCCAGGGGGTAGAAGTGGGAGCTTGAGGTAAACAGGTTTGGCCTCAATCTAAAAATGTGTCCCCTGCAGAACGGGGAGCTTTCAGAGGCGATGAGCTGCCCACCACCGAAGTATTCAAATATCAGAAAGATATTCAAGTGCATCCATTGCTCTCAAACCCGGGTGGTCATCAGAATCACATAAGGAGCTTAAAAAGAATAGATCATCAGGCCCCACAACTAGATTCTCTGCTTCCATAGGTTGGCAGCGGGCCGAGGGAGTCTGAATTTCCTAAAAATCCTCCAAACAGTTATCAAGTCAAAGCCAACTGAGTAATTACAATGGGCCTGGGATGACTGCTGAAGCCAGGGAGGCGATGTTCCCAGTGTTCATTTCTATCACTCACCACAGTGTTATGTTAGCATTGACCAGGTGTTAGGATTGTTCTAAGAATTTTGAAAAATGAACTTTCATCTTCAAAGGAGCTCAACACTATAGGTATTATTATTACCCTTATTTTACAGATGAGGAAACTGAGGCTGGAGAAGTTATATAACTTTCCCCAGGTCACACACCTCAACTCAGCAGTTGCTTACTGCACCTGGGCCAGGTTGCTTCTCGGGGCGTGGGCTGGAGAGCATTCCCTCGCGCTCTGGGGGACAGGCTGCGACTGGCACAGACATTTAGCTTGTGAGGACGCCCCGACCCATGGGCCTTGCCATTCAGATGCTCCGGCTCCCAGAACACTCAGCATGCCTGTGCAGTGTCTGCGGGCACGGGAGCCACCAGACAGGCGCAAACTCAGAGGCAGCAAAGGACATGCTTTGAATGAAAAAACAATCGACCTATGTAGAGACACCCACACTGAGAAACCGAAACGAACGCCTGACTCATTATCTGGAAAGCAGGCAAGGCACTCACCAGGAGAGCCCAGCCTGCTGCGGGCTTTCAACAGCCGTGTGTGAATTTGAATGAGAACCTGTCTGACATGTGACGCTCTCATTAGGAAAATCTTGGAGCCCTAGACGCAATCAAAGCGGCGTGTTGAGATAGTGGAAAGACCACTGCACGGGCCGAGGGGCGAGGAGCCCTGGCAGCTCACCCCATTTCTGTCACTAAATGTTATGTCAATTGTGTACGTTCTTTTCCTTGTTTGGACCCCGCTTTACCCAAATCTAAAATGGGAGCTTCAGATAAGATTAAGGCGTACCAAGCCCAGATTTCCGTGTGGACTGGGCAGGCAGTGTAAAGTGTGAAAAAGGGCATTTCACAGTCCTCTGACTTCAATTCTATGGGGGAGGGAGGGAGCAGCAGTGCATTGAAGAAGATGTATGGTAACTGAAACTTTGTCTCAGCGTCGGGGCAAAGAGAGTGGGGGGGACTGTGGCAAATTGGGGAGCACAAGCCCCATCTCAGGGACAATTGCTACTTGGCTTAAGTTGATTTTTACCCTGGGGAAATGTGTTCCAATTCGGCCCAGTAATTCAAATTTTAAAATGCCAGGTAAAAACTCTCTTGATTTTTAAAAAGTGGGCAACTAAGTCGACTTTTTAAAAACATGGTGTCGGCTAAATCAAACTCACCCTGCAGCTGAATTTGACCCCTGGGCTGCCAGTGTTGAGACCTGGAAATGATCTAAAAGGCCCTTTTAACTCAAATTTCTTATGGTTTTACATTTGATTACTGAATTGCTCTTCATTAGCTGAGGATCACTTTTTTGATTCATTAAAAAAAAATCCTACTAAGAAAAGAAAGCCCATTTAGGATTTTAGGACAGGGAAATTAAAAATATGAAAAAGAGTTTCAATAAACTGCTATTTCTGCTATAGATGGGCCTGAATGACATCAAACATCTGGCTGAAAAACTGGGGGGGAAAAATGAGTCAATCATTAGAAGTTTCCCCATATTTCCAAGTCTCCAGATGGCTGACTTTTTCAGCCAGATGGGGTTCGAGCGTTACTGATGTGCTCAGAAGCCTCGGGGAAGCTGCAGAGATGTGGCTGGGCCAGGGTGAGCGAGGGACAGAGCGCTGCCTGGGTATTTCCCGTGTGCTCACCCGCTGCTAGGTGCTGCCACAGGCACCAGGCACGCTGCTCCTGTCTCCGCGCTGCCCCTGGGAGACTGTAAACTGGGACGGACAGAGATTCTTGCCTGTTGGTGGCGCTGCTATATCCTGCAGTGGTTCTCAACCTGTGGGTCGAGACCCCTTTGGGGGTCTAACGACCCTTTCACAGGGGTCGCCTAAGACCACCGGAAAACACAGATATCATTACATATTGTTTTTGTGATTAATCACTATGCTTTAATTATGTTCAATTTGTAACAACGAAATTGGGGGTCACCACAACATGAGGAACTGTATTAAAGGGTCGCGGCATTAGGAAGGTTGAGAACCACTGCCTTAGAGCTTAAAAACA